CTCTTCTTATGAATTCGTTAACTTGTTGTCTAGTGTCCAGCGGACTTTAACTGCATGTTTGTGAACCTGAATTTGAAACTAGGCATTAGAGATTGCTGACCTGCTCATCAGTAGGTACACCTGGCTACTATGTCTCTCCTTCTCCCACAACCTCTTTACTGGCAGTCGTTCACCACTAAGTGCAGGAGCCTGTGAGCACATTCTCTACTCACTGTTGGCTGGGCCTGGCTTGTAAACACCAATACAGTGGGCACAGCACTGTGAGTTTGTGATTGCCATGGCCTTGCCATGCTTAGAAGACCTCAGTTTGCAATCCTTTCCTTAGCTTTCAGATCATCCATTCATTCAGCCCCCACTTCCAAAACTATTTTTTGAACTTTAAAAGGGTGCTGTAACTGTCTTTAATCAGACAGTATTCTTAGTGTCTTGTGGAGTCATGGGTCTCTGCATTCACCTTCACTCACTACAGAGAAAAGCTTCTCTGACTAAGGGTGACAGTGGCCCTTGCGTGTGGGTATAAGTATAGATATTTAGAAGGTGCTTTGAATCTGTGCCATCTGAGCAGTAGGTTTCGCCCCCTCCCGGGGAGAAAAGTCTTCTACAGTCATGGGGTTTTGATCAGATGCATAGCATTAGGCCTGGATTTTCTCTTGTGAGCACACATCCCCAATCTAGTCAGAAGCAGTTGTTTATCTCCCATAAGAGCTGACCACTATTGTGCCAATGGGCACATCTTGACTGACAGGCTGGTTTCATGGTTCGTAGAGTCCACAGCTGGGTAAGATCACTAATGCTTTTACTCTTTCAACAGACCTCAGGACTCTCCAGCACCCCTGAAAGCTAGTCAGCAGGGAGCAGGCTCAAGCTCCTTATTTTGCATCCAAGGCATGTGATGCCTGTAGCAGTAGGGCCTCACCATCTAGTTTTTGTGAGCAACCAAGAGGGATGCCAAGAACCTGTTTCCCACACTTGGTAATAGGGTTTTTGTTTAGTGACTCATTATTTCCAAGAATGACCCTGTCTGGTCTTGGACAGTATTTGCCAAATATTTTATGCTTTTTATTGGGTTACTAGATTGTGGTTTTTCATACCTCCCTTGTTTTGACTATTTCTTCCCCCACCTTCTTGTCTCTCCCACCTTCGTTTGAACCTGTGCGCCCCAAGTTTCCCACCCTTTCCATGCTCATATATGTTCCTTCCGCCCCTCTTCCTTAAGGTGCCCTGCCCTGTGCAATGTCTCCTCTCTAGTTTTCTGCTTTCTAGAGGTTCTCCACATTAAACACATGGAACTGAGGAGTGGAGGGAAGCTAGGACATACACGTGGGAGAGAATATGCAGCGTTTGTCTTTTTGTCCCTGGGTTATTACCTCAGTACAAAATTTCAAGTTTCATTGACTTTCATACCAATCTCATGATGTCAGTTTTGTGTCTAGCAGGATAAAATTCCATTTGGTGTGTATACTCTATTTTCTTTACCCGTTCATCTGTTGATGAGCAACATTACCAAATGGGCCTGAGAACCCTGGGTGTTAAGGGGGAAAGAATGAAATTCAATCCCTACACCTTAGGCTGTCCAAAACTCAATTCCAAATGGTAGGGTTTCCCCCCTTCTTTATTTTCAGATATACTCTTTATTCTGCTTGTGAATCTTCATTTGAATCAACATTGTTGATCCCCCACATCACAAATCTGTGAACTTTTATTTGCCAAAGGTGGTTCACTTATGTTTATTGTAATCTTTGATGTAATTGGGCTTAAATTTATCTTTATTTGATGACTTACTTGGTGTATTTTTTTTTGAGAATCTTTTGTCTAATTTCCCTTTCCTTGCCTCTTTCTTTCTTTCTTTCTTTTTTGAATTTTCCCTTCATTCCTCAATTTATTTAAAATGTATACATCTTACTTGTATAAATGTAGCAAAGACTTTTAAGATGTAAGAAAAATACTAAAATTTGTGACTTTGGAGTTATTTAGTGTCTACTCTCTGTTCTAATTGATTCAAGAATTCTCAACATGATTCATTCTCTGTCTCTCTCTCTCTCTCTCTCTCTCTCTCTCTCTCTCTCTCTCTCTGCCTTCTTGTACTTCTTGCACTAGTCCAGCCAAGCCTTATGATGCCGTACTGTTGAGGTTATCGAGGTTAATGCCTTGATTATTTGCCTCAGGTGATAAAAGTTGCAATGTCTACATATCTCTCACTGGGTACAAAAACTGCTGCACTATTAGTGATACAAATCATTGCCTCTTTTTGTTTGTTTGTTTTGTTTTGTTTTGAGGCAGGGTCTCTCTACATAACTCTGACCTGGAACTTACAATGCAGACTAGGCTGGCCTCAAACTTACCGAGATCCCTCTATTTCTGTCTCTGGAGGGCTAACCACACCCAGCCAAATCACTTCTTATTAACTTTATAAAATATTCCTTGCCATTTTGTTAACTCTGATTAACTTTTCTATGTAGATATAGTTGTTCCTTGAAGTGTCTGGTGAGAATTTTTTTCAAACCTGAGTTTATTGCTGTTTTAACTATACCTTTTTTCTCATTCAATACTCACTAAATGTTTTTTTATGCTGGTTAAATATTGATCATACAGTAACTTCAAAGCCATGCTTACCTTTTTACTGATAGCCCTGTTATAAGAGTTTTAGTTCCACTGTCCATTAAACTCCATGCTTCTCTTTCTTGGTTTCATCTTTTGTGAACTGTGACTTTAGGATTTGTACTAATGTTTTTATTTGAGAAACCTGCCAGCTTATTCTATTTCGTTCGCTTGCTTCTGTTGATTGGATCAAAAAAGCCATAGTATAATTATATTTTCATTAAAATAAAACTGTTAAGAAAAAAAGCCATGGTTATAACCTTAGGTTTAATTGCATTTTTCTGATGACTAGGGATGCTGAATGCAGTTATAAATATTTGTTGGCCATTTGTAATTGTACATTGTCGTTTTTGTAGATGTTGGCTGAGTCTTTGCTTGGCCCTTCTAACTCAGTGACCTCATTCTCCTCTATCCTTTCTGTTTTTATAAAATTAAGTCTCACCTTACCTTTCTCATGTATATGTAAAGGTTTCTGCTATTTTAATCTAATAGTTTTCTCATGGGTTTAGGGTCATTTCTCTGAAATTTTACTCCCAATTGCATTATACCATTCAAGATTCCTCGAAATGTCTGGTTAGATAATTCTTTTTTCAAGATCATGAACTGTTAGTTTTGAAGAATGTGTCTTTAGTCACTGTGTTGCATTTGCTGTGGTCAGGGGACAAGAGAACATATTTAGTATTTTCATTTTTAATTAATTGCTACAGTTGGAATGCAAGTCATGGGCTTTTTTGTGACCTGTCATTCATCTGTATCATTGTCCTTTCTGTATTTGACCTCCCTGCTCTTCTCCCCTGCAACCTCAGTGTACAACTTTCTCCCTGTAAGTAGTTTCTCCTCTGCTTTCACATCTGTCTGACCAAGTCTAGATTCTGCATATGAGGGGACATATGGGGCATTGTGTTTTCTTCTTTCTCTCTTTGCCCTCCCCCATTTATTCCCTTTCCTTCCTCATCATAGTCTCTCTTATTTCATATCTGTATATGTCCTACATATGGGCTCACACATACACACATAAGTATGTGTCCATATATGACAGAAAATATGGTTCATGTATTTGAGTCTGACTTGTGCTGCTTATGTTATCATTTTTATTTTTACATCAGATTTATCATGTTAATGAAAATCTCTATTAGTTTTCCTGAAGGTGCTATATTTCACCTTCTTTATGGCTGAATAAAACTCCACTGTGTGTATGGACCATATTCTCATCAAATTAATCTGCTACTCATCTTGTGTATTGTGAGTGCCTCCCTTCCGTAGCAAAACAACCAGGTTACACTCTCACCAGCGTAAAAGTGCATGAAACTTCCCTAGCATTTTTGTCATGCTGTTTCCTAGTGACAGCCGGTCTTATGGGTGAGATGGCATCATAGTGTTGTTTAATTTGCATTTTCTTGATGGCTAAGGGTGTTGAACAGTTTCCACATACTGGCTGTCTGAAGTTCTACCTTTGAGAATAGTTCTATTTATTCACCTATTTACTGATTAGATGGGTTTTCATGTTTAATTCTTTGGGACCTTCTTTATTGCCTGTGTTAATCCTCTACCACATATCCAGTTGCAAAGCTTTTCTCCCATCCTGTCGGCCATCTCGCCACTCTGATGCTCATTCCCTTTGTGCTGCAGACGCTCCTCGATTTCATTGGTCAGTCTTTAACAATTTTATGACCTGTGAGAATGCAAGGTTAGAATGATCAGTTATCTGTAAATAATTTTCGTTATCTATGTGATTTACTGATGAAATATGTTGGAGGAGTACTTTCGGACTAAGTGTTACACAGTCATGATGTTGTAGAGGAACATAGTATTCCCAGCATCAGCAGCTGTATAATACATGTAGTAACTACAGTCTCATTATAACTAGAAAGTCATAGTTAAGATTCTAATAGAACTTTATGGGTAGTCAAATGTGATTTTTGTACAAGTTTCATGTATCACAAAATTTTCTTTTGGTCCCTCCCCTACTGCTAAAACAAAGTAATAATTATTCTACATCAATGGGATGTATAAAAATATAGGATAGAGTATGTTTGATCTGCATATACCAGTTTATTAATCTATAATTTAGAATATTATGCCAAATGTGGAAAATGTTCATAACACATTGAATGTGAAAACACAGGTCATAAAGCATGTACATTGAATGTCACAACATCTCTATAAACAAACAATTTCCAGCAAGATAGCCTTGGGTGATGCTATATCAAAATATTTACAGTGCTACCTTGGTTAGATTATGGGCAAATATAATTCTCCGTGTGTTTGTATATTCTGAATTTGTACAATGATTGTTTACTGCCTTGTTTTAAAAATATTCTGATATCAGAAAATGTTACTTACTCATTGTCAACAAATTGGTACTGAAACAATGTTTTGTTTTCCCACTGTTCTGTGTTTAGCCAACAAGTCCCAAGTTTGGAAAAGCTGACTCCTATGAAAAACTGGAGAAACTAGGAGAAGGATCTTATGCAACAGTCTACAAAGGGAAAAGCAAGTAAGTTAAATATTTTAAAAAACAAGTCATATGTGCAGGGTATCTGTTCTCTTAATAGTAAATAACAGCATAGTTAAAAAATTCAAATTTACTACAGGGTAGATTTTCCTGCTATTTGGTTTCCTGACTTTTGTGACCTTGCTTTAAAGAAGTCTAAAAGCTAATGGAAGTGGTTTTCTTCACATAGCTTACTTTTTCTCAATGGACCTAGAATCCTCAAATGAGAATTATTTTCCAGGTAAATGAGGCAGTTAATTTCTCATGGTGGTTTACCATTTATTATTTTTTTCATTTTCCCCATTTATTGAAAATAGGTTATTTTCTCATACAATATATGCTGACTATATACACTCGAAGGACCCACAGAACACTGAGTTAAACTCTGTACTATATGCACAGATAACTTGGTGCAGACCTCTGTAGGCCCTGGGCCTGCTGCTGCCCTGTCTCTGTGAGCTCATGTGTGCTTTGCTTAGTTGATTCAGCAGGTCTGTTCTGCAGATGGCCTCCATTCTCTCTGGCCTTACACTTTTTCTAACTCTTTGCCTCCTCTTGCCCAGGTTTCTCTGAGCTCTGAGGGGAGGGATTTAATGGAGACATCCCATTTAGATTCTGTCTCTAATAATGTCTTTCTCTGCACCTTTTCCTGTCTGCTATCAAGGAAGCCTCTCTGATGATGACTGAATGAGACTCTGATCTATGAGTATAGCAGAATAGCATTAGGAGTTATTTTATTGAGTTTTTTGTTTTTTTGTTTTTGTTTTTTTTTTTTTTTTTTTTAGATCAGTAGTGTTTTGTTTTACCCTAGGTCTCTGTACACTCTAGTCTCTGATTCTTGATCACCCAACGGTATCAGGGATTGTCTAATGCAGTAGGCCTTAGTCAAACCAGACATTGATTGCTACTCCTAAAAGTTTGGGGCTACTGTTGCCCTAGCGTATTTGGTCACATTGTAGGTCAAAGGTTTTATGTCGGGCTTGGTGTTCATGCTTCTCTTTTGTAAACCTTCAGAGTGTCTTCTTGCATCAAAGACCCTAGAATGTAGGGGTGAAGGCTCCCGGTAGGTAGCAGCTGGACTTCTCCATATTCAGTGAGTTGTATGGATGTTGTATTCTGCAGTGAGACCCCACTGTCAGTGTGCAGAGAGGAATCCATTGTCTTAGCATCAGCCTGGATTGTTTGGGGATTTTTATGTGATCCCCTTGTGTAGTATGGAACAACAGGCTGCTTCCCTGCCGCCCCAGCTCCTGGCCGCCTGGCTAGCTTATGCCCCGAAATAATTACATGGAAACTGTATTCTTTTAAACACTGCTTGGCCCATTAGCTCTAGCCTCTTACTGGCTACCTCTCACATCTTGCTTTAACCCATTTCTAATAATGTGTGTAGCCCCACGAGGTGTGGCTTACCAGGAAAGATCTTAACCTGCGGCTGTCTGGTGTGGGAGAATCATGGCGACTACAGATTATAGTGTGGTTATCATATACTTAATGACTAATATCCATATGGAAGAGAATATATTTCATATTTACCTTTCTGGGTCTGGATGACCTCTGTATGAGTTTTTCTAGTTCCATCCATTTGCCTGCAGACTTTATGATATCATTATTTTAACATCTGAGTTCATTGTATAAATGTGCCACATTTTCTTTATCCGTTCTTTGGTTGAAGGACTTCTAGGGTTTCGAATAAATATAAGTGATCTAAATTCAAACATATTGTCATTGTTGACATCCTTTTGTATTAAACATTTACTCCACCTTTCCCAAATCTTTTAGTTTGAAATTGTAAGCTTTTATTTTACTCCTTTTTACCTGTCTCCTTTGGCATAAAGTTCCACATATAGAAGCACCTTTTCCTCTTTCCCACAGTTCTCCTCCTCTATTACTTTCTTAAGATTTAATGACAGATTGTGTTCGTGTGTGTGCGTGTGTGTGTGTGCGCAACTGGGCGGGGGCAGGGGGGGAGTGCCAGTATCTTTATTAGGACAACTTGCAGGAGTTTGGGCAATAGATACTTGTTGTTGTTTAGGGTGCCTCAAAGGCAGCTACATCGCCATAAGGCCCTCCCTCCCTCAGCCTTGGAGGTTCCTGAAAGATGCCTGTCTGGAGATCTCAGGCAGACTAGCAGTCAGCTGGGCAGCTCAGCTTCCTCTGTCATATGACTGTTCACTGCTTTCATTATTTTGCGGAGGAGCCTTGTGAAGCAGTTTTTAGTCCCCGAATCTCGTGAGCCTGCCTCTTCATCCAGAAGAGAATGTTTCAATTCGAATGAATTTTCCACACAAATATTAGTGACTGAATAATGATACTTTGATTTTCTCAAATTTCACAGTGATTTTACATTAGAATTTTTTGTTTTATTTTATTGAAAAGTTTTTCCTATAATATAACCGGATTACTCTTCCCCTCCCTTTGTTCCACCCAAGTCCTCCCACCTTCCCTTCTATTTGGATCTACTCCATTTCTGTGTCTCACCAGAAAATGAACAGGCTTCTAGAAGATAATAATAAAATAAAACATACACCCCCCCAAAAAAATCAACAGCAACAATGACAACGAAAAACAAAACAAAACAAAAAACCCAGACCACCACACCTGAATAGGACAAAACAAACCGAAGGAGAAGAGCCTCAGAAAAGGCACAGGAAACATAGACACAGACCCACTCAATAGCATACCAAGGAGTCCAATAAAAGCTACAAATCAGAAACCATAATATATGCGTAAGGACCTGTAGGGTAAAAAAGCAGAGAAAATGTAAAAAGATAAAATTAAATAGAAAGGAGGAAAGGAGAGCAGGGGGAGAGAGAGAGAGAGAGAACGATGGCCTTAAGTTAGCTTCTCTGTTGTCTATCTGATGTGGAGCATGAGGCCTACCTTAAGAGTGATTTCTTTCCCTAATGAGATTCCCGTGGAGAAACCTAAATCTTCATTCACAAGTGGTTATTCATAATCTTCTGGGTTAGGGATGCAGGCGTGTGTCCACTTCTCCTCTCAGCTCTCGGACCCCATCTGGTGCAGACCTGTTCAGGCCCTGTGCCTGCTGAGCTTATATGTGTGTCCATCTTGTTGTCTTAGAGGGCCTGGTTTTCCTGCTGACTTCCATTACCTCGGGGTCCTGCACTTTTTCTGCCTACACTTCTGTGGGGTTTTCTGAGAAGAGGGATATGATGGAGACATCTGTTTTGGGTTAGCATGTTCCAAGGTCTCTCGCTTTCTGCAAAATATCCGTATATTTGTTCTCATCTGTTGTAGGAAGAAACTTCTCTGGTTCTCTGGTGAAGGCTGAGCCAGGCACTGATCTATGGGGGTAGCAGAATGCCATTTGGAGTCATTTTATTGTTGCGGCTTTTTTGTTTTGTTTTGTTTTTTAAAGATCTGGTTTTACCATAGGTGCTTAGGCTATCTAGTCTCTGGTTCTTGGTCACCCAAAGCGGTGTAAGGTGTGGGTTGCAGCTCGTGGGGGTGGGGCCTCAGGAAAAAGCAGATACTGATTTGTTACTCCCACAAGCTTTGGGCCACAGTTGCACTAGCAGATCTAGTAGACAGGCCATCATAGTAGATGGAAGATTTGTAGCTGAGATCGTGTTCACATGTCTTCAGTGGTAGTGTGTGGAGTTCCTTCTTATAATCAAGATGCTGGGCTGCGGTCATGAAGGCCCTAGGTGGGCCCCAGCTCGACTGCTCTCTGTTCAGTGAGTTGTGGAAGTGTTGTTTCAGGAATGGGACTGTGCTGTCAGTTTGTAGAGAGCAACCTACAATTTTAGCAACAGCCTGGGTTGTTTGGGGGTTCCGATGGGACCCCTTTTACCAACAACTCCATTAGATATAATCCATTCCCAGATAGCTAGTGGGGGCTACGTCTTGCCCATTGTTTGGTGATTTAATTTGATTGCTTTCATATATATATGTGGTGGTTTAAAAGAAAATGTTCCCCATAGGCTGATAGGGAGTGGCACTGTTAGGAGGTGTGATTTTGTTGAAGTGGGTGTGGTGTTGATGGAGGAAGTGTGTCTCAGTCTCTTTCTGCTGCCTTTGGATCTGGATGTAGAACTCCCAGTAGCCTCCCCAGCACCATGTGTCCCTCCCCAGCACCGTGTGTCCCTGCATGCTTCCCACCATCATGACTATGGACTAAGCCTCTGAGCTGTAAGACAGCCCCAATTCAGCATTTTCCTTTGTAGAGTGCCACCTTCGTGTCTCTTCCCAGGAGTGGAAACCCTAACTATGACAAGGGATATATTTTAGAAAAGCTTCTGCTGTTTTTGGTTTCCATACCACCCCTCACGTGGCCCTTAGTTGTAGCTGTCTCTCCCTCGATGGTCTTAGTTAATCAAAACCCACTGACAGAGTTAGGGGTTAAAGCTGAAGATCAGAGAATCGGAGTAGTAAGCCACTAGAGAGACCTTTTACCTCTACCAATGTTCAGACCGAAGGGGCGATCTCCAGACTGCTGAGACTGTACTCACCAAACCTCAGGACCCACACTCCAGTGAGTTTCTGTCTCTTCCCCTTTATGTTCCTCTCTCTGCCCAGCCATATCACTCCTGTCTCCACCTCCCTAGTGCTAGGATTAAAGGTGTGTGACTCCCAAATCCTGGGATTAAAGTGTAACCACCACCTCCTGGATCTGTTTCTGTATCATCTTGTGTAACCCAGGATAGCCTTGAACTCACAGAGATTCCTCTGCCTCTGTCTCCCGAGTCCTGGGATTACAGGTATGTGCCACCATTCCCTGGCCTCTAGTAGCTTGGTTTTGCAATGTGATCTTCAGGCAAGCTTTCTTTATTAAAATACAAATAAAATATCTCTACATCCCTCCCCTTCCCTGCTTAATTCTCCTGTTCAGCCTGCCCATCTATCCATAACTATCAATTTTATTTTCCTTTCCTAATAAGATCTGTTTATTCCTACTAGTCCCTTACTCTATACCTAACCTCTGTGGTTCTATGGATTTAGCTTGCATATCATTGATTTAATAATTAATACCCATGAACAAG